ATCAAAAATCGTGCAATGACTACACAAAGTTTGCAATAGCTCACAGACCTAAGACAAGATAGAACCACGGACTTCTCAAACATTTCCGGCACCTGAAACTCCACGGCAGGAACAAAATTGCTGGCATGTTTTCATTTTCCGCAAAGATGGTCACTCGTGCTCTGATGTTAACTGGTTGAACATGTTTCCCATATTTATGGAAACCTTTGGTTTCTTTTGTTATGCAATTATCAACAAAGAGTCGTTCGTTGCATAGACATAAAATCTGATTTTTCAGCCACTTTCTGTGCGGTTTGCTTGTCTTTTGGAATGCATGAGAGCGAGAAAAATTAAACGAATCTCGCGCGTTGAGTGCGCTAATACACGGAGCAAGTAATTTAATTTAAATTTATTTTCATTAACGACTCACGAGTTTTTACTTAAACTAAGGACATACTTGAAAACGAAGACTGATATTGACCACAGTGTGATTAACTGCACAAAATGGCTCGATTATGTTTGTTTTTGGGAGGAAAACTGAGCACTGGACGGAATTTTACAAGCCTTTACAGCGACTTGCAGTAGAATCAAGGGTCTAAGCGCTAGCTAGAAAAAAAAAAAAATGAGGTGCTTATTTGCTCAGCCTCGCGGCAGTCATACAGCCCATTGTTAAATTTTTGGTCTATTTTTGACAACTCTGAAATGTAACAGCTTTCTGTTAGATTCAAGTTTGTCAGTAGCCGATACAATTGAGGAACCGACAAGAGCACGCGATTAGCTACTGGTAGATTAGAAAATGTGATATTACTAAGTACTTAAATTTTTATTCCGTAGAAGACTGCAACATCCTCGGAGGCTTAGATAACATTAAACTGAAGGGGGGCTATGCCAGGATCAATCTTTTTAAATTTTACTAGTTTGATCGAATAGTGGATAACTTGAATATTTACTTCCGTCTATACATAACATTGATAATTTAACTTTGTTGAAAAGGAATCTGGTAAGGTTTTTTTTAGGAATTTGTGTATTTGAGCGTTTTATTTGTCTATATTTGTGTACATGTTTTTATCCTGCCATCAGTTGTAATAAGTGTAGAAATACTAATCCATTGAAAACGGTGCACCGATGAAATTCATACTGTGATTCGCGAACAGAGTCAGCTTATGAAAGTCAACGCGTGTTTCGTTATTTTTAGTTTTGACGGCGCCAAAATAACGCCTCTGTAGTCTTACTCTAAAGGAATGAGTTGCCTCCCCTTGTCCCTGTTCTTGGCCGCACCTGCAGCTGCGGCCCATGATGTTAAACCCATCTTAGCACGGTCTCTTTCCACTCGCTTGAAGTTACACCCAGAGTATCCTTCCGACCTCTCGCAGTAGTTGTCGTACATTCCCCATCGCCACTCGGTAATCCAGTGTTAAAAGTTTGCCAAAGATTATTTCCTTGTGTGAAGGCGTTTTTATCTACTGCCTCATCTTTTATAGTTTAGGACAAGTACGATTAAAAAACTCGGCAAAATGAAGAGCAAAATCCTTGATCAGATGAGTGGTACTCATACTACTCAGGACTTGGATGAAAAGGAACATGTGGGAGGAAATTTTTTTGTTCGTGAAAGAGAGGTTAGATATGATAGCGGTGCCTTTTCATCTGACAGTGATATACTGCCTAATTGTGAATGAGCCATAACTTTGCAGCTCTTAGACCAAAACACACTAGAACTTCTTATAAAATTTATAGCCCTGGCCTTGTTCATGTGATATCCGGCGTTAATTTCTTGGAAAACTAATCAAACAAAACACTGTATAGCAGCCATTTATAGCTACGGTTTCCTTTTCAATTTAGTTCATTTTTCCATCAAATCAAAACATGATATGCACGTCAGTGAAGTTACAGTTACATGGGAAAACAGACGAAAGCAAACAACCAAACAATGTCATAAAAAATTACAAACGAATATACAAATCAGTAAATAAAGCAATCAAGACTTTCGTCACGCCCGGAGAATTCTGGAAAGACGAGAGAAAAGTATGGCCTTTAATAGAGTTATACGCAAGTGCATTAAAACAAATTACTAACTAACAATATTTACTCTATACAGTTAATGCTAAAGTTCAATTGAAATTACGACACTAACCATTTATGCTATATTAACAAACTATTAAAATAAAACTAATTTTGTGTGCACGCTATAACACTTAAGAGAAGAGTGCTTGGATTGCTGAGGGTTTTTCAATTACGAGGGGCGGCCGCGGAACAGTTGCATATTAAGGAAAAAACCAAACGACGCAATTTCAACTACATTTGTTTGTATTAGCGACTTACACTAGTTACTCTATAGGGTAGGTAAAATAAGAGTATGTTCAGGTATGCGTTCTATGGTCTGTGTCAAGCCGCTCCTTCCGAAGTCTGTCAAGCCGCTCCAACCGAAGTCTCTTTTCCTCCGCAGGAAGGAAAAGAAACCAGCTCAGCACGAAACACGCGATAAAGAGGGCACACAATTTCTTCTGAAACACTTTTTAATGCTGTGTATGCTGATAAAGTAAAGTATACAGTATAAAGTAAGCCTAATAAGAACTTGTTGTTGAAAGAAAAGCCTGAAACAAAACTGAAACCGCCCTGAAACATCACTGATATTGATAATATTTATCCCACGCTCGGCATATTCGAGAACTAAAATTGCTTAAATCGAGCTCATGGGATTAGACTGTGGTTTTTGGTCCGATTATTTTCAAATTAAAAAAGTTCCGATATTGAATCGAAACATTTCATAGATAAAAAGATATAAAATTCAAAGGCACTATAATGTCAATGCGCAATTCGAAACTACCCGCCGCAAAGCAATTAGCGCTCAGTAGGTACATATCAACAAACTGCAGCGTCTTGCATTGGGGCTAATCTCTAAAGAAGAGTATACAGCAGCAAGCCTCAGCAGCAATTGAACAGGCAAAAGAATTTGAAATGATTCTCGAAACTGGTGGAAAATTTCCTGGCGCCTTGCAGGGCCTTTCGTGAGCGCACTTTCGTGAGCGCGCAAATAAAAAAAGGAAGAGACCCTCTCTTGATGTCTTGGCCTCTGCCTTATCGCTCTTGGGAGTGCCGACTACGCAAACAAGGTGGGCAAGGTGGTTAGTATTGTTTCACACGAAGACGATAACGTTTTTTTTTTTTTTATGAAACTGCACGCTATCTTAACTGGCATAACGCTCATTTGCGCAAACCTTCAATAGCTTTCACCCAACTTCGTTTCAACCCTGTTCTTGTACAAGCTAACCTTTTACCTATGACATGTAAACGAGCCTCAAGATAGCTATGGATGAACGGAGCTTTCTGGAGTTTTCTGTCGTGGGAGTTGTAACTAGTTCTGGGGAAAAGATCAGTGACTTTCATTATTTAGATAAGCGGAATCCGGAATCTTAAACCTTGGAAAAGATTCTTGTAAACATCGGTCAAAAACCTTTTAAATATTATACTTGTTTATCACATCGCTAGGTGCAGTGACGTCATCAAGCTCTTTAACGCTTTGAGTAGCCTTCGATATTTTATTAGCTAAACAATGACACCATTATTGTTCAATATCTAACCACTATTTTTAAACTGGAACATGTGTGTAGCGAGGGAGGCTGATTTAGAACGAGTATAGTCTTAATAAGCCTTTTTGCGAAATAAAAAAACTTCACACCGTGTGCATAACGGCTTTTCTTATAACTGCTTCAAACAAACGCAAAAGACTTAAGCATTTGATCCTAAACGTTGTTAAGTGCTTAAAAGCTTTCTTCCAAAATAGTAATTTGCAAAATAAACCTCTTACAAAAGGCGCCAATCCTGCCAGGGTTGTCTTGGCGCCGAAGAAGTTGTTTCTCATGACTCACAGTCACAGACACCATGCAGTATTGACACAGCCCGTGATAAAAACGCCTTGTCACTCCAGATCATAACAACCAAGGTGCTATTGTGAATTACAACGGAAGCACTTGTGAAGGAAATGACATAGAACTTACGAACCGACGCAGGATATTAAAGAGTTGTCTAGAGAAATCGACAAGAGTTATCAATCTTTGAATTTTAAACTTAGGCATGCCTCGTTTGACCCTTGCACATGTCCTTAGCCAATACTCTTACGATTTTCAGTAGGTTTCAGAAAGGAAATGTCGTTTCAGTTGTAGGAAGAAAAAGACAACCGAGCTTTCGCTTTTTCCCTTTTTTTTTGGGGNAATGACGACACTCCAGACACCCTTAGTAAGTGACGAATCTTCTCCTGCAAACCAAAAACAATTTTGATTATGCTCATGAAATCTTCATTAGGAAACGAACCAATGAGACGCACACACTTATAGAACGAATCATGAAAAGAGAATGCTTAAAAGAACTGCGTCACTTAATAGTCGTCGTTTGTAATCCGTGTTAATCTTCTACATCATAATCATCCTTGTTCCTTTATTGATTATTATTATCTCTTTGGTGCTTTTCCATTGTAGAAGACTACTAATTTCAGGTTTCCGTAAAAATTTAAAAGGTAATCCCGTACGCGGCCAAAATAACTCAAAACACCGTGACTGAACTTCTTTCAGAGAGGTTGACAGTACCATTGTCGACCTATGTTACTTATTGGTTCATAATATCAAACCAAACGCAGTTACGAGGTATAGGATCCAACTTAGAACTAGCCTTTAAAAATAGAGTAATAATAATCTCGACAAGGATAAAATCAAAGTTGCAGAGGTTACACCATAGCATGTATGTTGTCCGTTTTGTTTTGCTTTTCGAAACTTAGGCAAGGTCACAGCAGTCGCCGTTTACTCCGACGACATCCGCTGGGGACAGGAATTCGAACTCAAGCCTCCGTAGGAAAACAGATGGAGACTGGTAAATTTACCCATAATTCTTTGCACGTGGAAACCTTAACAACGCCCACAAAAACGTACAGAAAAGTTCTAAAATCTTCAAGCCTAGCATTCACGATGTTGTTAGTACATGTACAGGGATGAATATTGCAAAACATGGCTTACCTGGTGCATAATGGCAGAGGTAGGTTCGCAAGGTATTGTGGTAAAATGTACAGCCGCCATCTTTTTTCCTACGGAGGATTTTTCACAAGAGGTCTATACGGTCCATATTTGATAGCCAAACTCAACCAAAACAGCTGCAAAAAATTTGAACCGGTAAGGAAGTCGAAGAAAACATTTTCACGTTGTATCGATATGTTAAAACGTTTGACACGTGAGATAATACACGTATGAGTTTAGTTTGATGGCCATTGATTGGTCAAGAAGACGTGATACTCCTACAAATGGATACAGCATGTTTCGTCAGTGTTAGATCATTTGTAGCAGTTACGATTCCTGCAACAGCGATAGCCCGTGTACATCTGCCCCGCGGATGTACACAGGCTACAACAGCGACCACCGCATAACGAAGAAGTCTCGTTTACGTAAGCGTGGCTTACAAATCCTAACATCGCATGAGAATGGGTCTGTATTCCATTCCGTTTCATTTAAGATTGAAGCGCCAGTTAACGATACTCAAATGGTACACAATGCTATTGAATTAATTTCGATGCGATATAAAAGGTCCCCGAGCGTAGCATGCCACGTACAGTTCACTTCTTATTGCTTGTAAAATCACTATGGCATCTGAGAAACACGCGCAATTTCAGTTATCGTATTTGAGTAGGAAAGGAAGCAAAAGATTGAGTTATAACCACGGTGGTATGCTATGTGTGTCATTTTCATACACCTTCTTCGAAAAAGTACAAAACATAAAAATATTTAACTGCCCAATAAGAACGCGTAATTTTACCAAAAGACATTTAATGAGATCAGAATAAAAGAAAACTGACTTCTGCCACACTCATATTTCTTTAAAAAAATGAAACTGCTTCAACTAAACCATATGTTACATTCTTAGTTTGCTATTGTCGTACATTGTTGCCATCTTATTTTGTCGTACATTGTTGCCACTTTATTATTTTTATTGTTGCACTTATTTAAATTTACGTTATTGTCTTTGAAAAGCCTCTTAGAGGAAAGTCAATAAAGTATGTATGTATGTATGCATAGCGTATTAGAGCAGTTTTCGAGTATCGTAAAAACAAATCCAAAGCAATTACTATCACCAATCACAACAAACGTAAAGAACACAGTGAACCAATCAAAACTCGAACTTGTCCCACCCATGCGAACAAGTGTTTTCCATCTGACTGATTGAGTAGATCACGAAGTTCTTTAGGCCAATGAAGAAAAATACTCGATACTCAGTTGAAAACCACTCTTATCGAGTCACGCCATAGTCAAGTCTCAACTAATACACGCGGTCAATAGTGGCCATTTCTGAGAATCAAATGCCATATCTTTGGTAGGGTCCCACGCAGACGGTTTTCGTGCACGTCACGCAATCTTCTTACCCAACAGGAGGAAGATTGCGTGACGAACTCAAAGAACGTCTGCGAAGGAGGCTATCCAAGGGGAAGCATGTATGAAGGTCTCACGCAAGGAGCCTCAGGCAGATGACTGTACACGAGGGAATTATCCACTCCGCAAAGGTAAGTGACCAAGAGATAATTACGACCCTCAGACGCGCGGCTACGGTAGACTGTAGACTTAGACCATCACGTAGTGCCACCCAGTTATATGAACTGTTCAGAGTAAGATGTTTTCGAATGAACCGATATTCCACTTTGAGCAAAGCTGTGCTCTTTCCACGTGAGTGTTCTTTTCACATTCCTTCGTTTGGAAATTGGTTCATGTCAGTTGAAAGTTAAAAGCTTCCAATTAGAAAGCGAGTCTTGTTGGTGAAATTAGAGACTCCCACGTAAATAAGAATAAGGCTATAGTGAGAGAATGTCATTCGTTCATCACCAGAGTAAGCAAACTCTGTTATCATTAACTTTGATTTAAAAAAAAACTTATTTATATATAATACATATTAAATAAATTTGGATTAAAAAAAAAAAAGTTTTTGTTTTCAGAATGGGTGATGTCGCTTTTGAGTTCTTCTCGTGTACATATAATTTGCCGAACTGGGGTCTTTGTTCAAGTTAGTCGGCACTCCAAAAATGTTCCAGGAACTTCCCATGAACGGCGGACGGACGGCATAGTGATTGTTGAAAAGTGTGCTGACGGAAAAGTTTCCACTGGAAGTTAATCCGCTTGGAGGGACAGTTGCTTGCAGTGCTTGGCTGCTAGAGATATTGGAGTTATGACCTTGTTCGACTTTGGCGACTTGTGACGCAACTGCTGATGAGACTCTAACAAACGAAAAAGAAACATATCAAGTTATTCCTACACATGATGTCATGGATTCTTGTAAAAAAAAAAAACCTTAACTAAGTTCTAGTGGTGATATCTTCCTATTTTCTTACTGCATTTTTAATAGTTCATTTATAAGTTTGTACTGAATGCCTTTTTGAGACTGTATCATCTAATGTCAAGCATAAGCAGGCAGAACTTGAGAATAAACTTTGAAATATCGCATTAGCTTGCTACTTAGCAGTGGTGCACATTATATATAAATCCGAAGTTTTGTTTTGATCGTTTTTCATATTTTTTTTCCTGCCTTTTACCTTAATCAACGTTGACACCATCATACCAAAAACAATACAGTGGAACCCCGCCCTAAGGTCACCTCGTTGTTACGACCACTTTTTTGTCCCACTTTTTTTCTGATAAGAAAACCCCTTTAATGCGGCCACCTCGTTAATACGGCCAACGGCTACATTCTGAAATCCCAACCTGTATAATTCTTTGTAATTTTACCCTGTTTATACGGCCACTCAAACCAGTTATGTTCGTCTTTCCATTATTAATATTGTATGTAAGTTTCAATTTTTTAAAAATAATATCTGCATTCCTGATACTTATTAAAGAACAGTTGTTTAGAAGTACAATTGTGAAACATATGTTAAGACGTCACTCAAAATGTGACCAGTTGTGAAATTTGACCCTACCCCGTTAATACGGCCAAGTGTTCATGGTCCGTTGGTGACCGTATTAACAGGATTCCACTGTAAAAAAAAATCCTTTCAAGGCCACTCACCTTTCTTGTTGTTTCTGTGCAGCAATCGGTACTGTCACCACCTGTTCCACGAAAGGATTCTCCACTGAAGTGAGATGCAGTGATCTAGCTCTCCCTCCACTATTGTTTCTATAAAAGCTACTGTTATCAGCTTTCGTGTCCAATGCTATGACTGCTACTGCAGCGTCCTTGTGCGACTTTGCAATATCCGCTGACCCAGCGCGGCTCGAGTGGCGACTGTACGATGTGGCGCGAGCCGCCAAACCACGTGACGAGTTGAAAGCTTCTGAGCGAACGTGATTGGTTGCTTCATATGGTCTGGTGTTTCATGAAAAAAGTGGGTCAGTGGATTAATTGGAGTATAAAAACAAAAATTCAGTTGCGGTTATTCGTATCCGATTGCAAATTTCTGATCACACTTCGAGAGTACATGTAGATGATGTATACACAAATCTTTGCCCAGCTTAGAGTGTTGATGTAGAAGTAACAACTTCAGACCGTTTGCGTTACAAGTATCAGTAGTGCTTGACACAGAGCTTTGGATTGTATGCTTCTGCTTTAACACACGCACAAACAAACAAAAGATACAGGACTGTATGTACTGCGAGGCCTGAGGGATACAAACATCGAAAAAGGGTTATACCTTTTAAACAGCTGCAAGAAAATTCGGTAAAAACCTTGAAAATGACCAGTCCTGTCATTGAACACGCACAGTTTAATACACAAAGAAAACTATAGAAGTGAGAGATAACAAACCACAACAGAAATTAAAAAAGCCATGTAAATAAAAACGAGCGTCATCCTACCCTAACTCCATCCCTCTTGTCACAGACCTACCCCCTGCAGAGGAATCCCGTGAGCCTGGAGCTGATTTTCTCTAAGGAGGCCTGGGTACAACAGGGGGCAGGTGGATATCTCGAAGTGAGCCACCTATTGTAAGTGCGGTGCTTGGTTCAGCTTCTGTCTTGTGTGCGCTATCATTCGAAAAGGATGACAACTCTCTGCCACTGTTCGGTCGAGTTGACAGGCGACTTGATAAGCCGGACTGAGATCTCTGCAGCAGCGGTGGCTCGTTATCATGTTGGTCTATAAATTGGACGAAAGAGAAGAAAGTGAGCGAAAGAGAAGTAAATGAAACTTCATTCATTGGCCAAATCCACTTAGCAAGCACAAAGTTTTTCGAGTAAATTAGGGGACTAAATCCTGACTTTTATTGGTAGCCAAACTCGAGGCTCGCAATCGAAGATTATTGCCTGGGGTCCTTCTTATACGGCCCGAGTGAAGCGAGATACGTATAAGAAAGTTCTCTCAGTGTGCTCTCGAGCTCCATGTAGCGAGAGTTGAAAAGACGTTTCTAATACCACCCTTATTTTAAAACATTTTATTGTAATGACCATTTAACCGCCGCACTCTTGAGTCCGATCTTCGTTTCTCCCCCGATTATTAGCCAATCACCAGAAAGTCTGTCGATCAGTCTATCCTTGACAAAATATATGTATGCCATCTTTCCTGCTCTTTTAGCTTCCCTTAGTTTTTCAAGTCGATTATTCCGTTTCTCCATGATGGTTTCAACTACCAGTTCTTCATTCACAAACAGGCCCGAAGGTTTGGTTCTTCTTTCTGCACGAAGAATTGCTTCTCACGTAAACGGCAAACTATAGTTCCTAGTCTAGTTGTGGTGCCATCAGCTGCATTGGAGGTACTTGATCTCGGTGTAGCACCCAGTGTGCCTTCGCTCGATTTCTGGTGCAAACTCTATATTCAGCTTTTCTTTCAAGACTTGCTTTGTTTTCGCTTCTGTGGTAAGCCAGGTTTCATTGTTGTCTTCAGAGATACCATCAATTCGGATGTTATTTCGAAGACGTATGATTCTCGAGGTATTCCATTTTATTTTCATGTTTGTTCAAAACACGCAGGATCTTATCAGCTTCGTCTTTGACGCCAGCCAGCCAACAGACTCTATCAGGTCATCAACATCTTGTTGGGAGTATTGAAGACTGGCTTTTAACTTGGCAACTGATTTGACTTCTTCGTCTATCCGTATGTTCATGGAAGATAGGGCTGTTTCAAGCATGCGTTTTGACTCAGAGCAGTCTCCATTTTGCTCGAAAATCCGTAGGAAAAAAGAACGCAAAACAAGTGAACGTGCAAGCGTGACATACAAGCGTCGAGCGGTGAAGCCGCGAGCCGCGAGTACTTACGGCCAGTACTTACGGCTCGCAGTTTCGCATGTCACGCTCGCACGCTCATGTTGCTTTGCGTTCTTCCTAGCCTTCTTCTCCATGAATTTTCGAGCAAAAGGGAGACCGATTGCCGTCTGACATGCTTTTATAGATCCCCTCCTGCATCGGCATCATCACTAGAAGCTCGTCCAAAGAAGGGAGATGATTAACTCACAAAATCTCCTCAGAGCTTTATTATCTAGCTCTCTGCACGCACTGCAGGCCTATGATGAGGGGGCATCATAGGCCTGCAGTGCGTGCAGAGAGCTAGATAATAAAGCTCTGAGGAGATAATAATGTTAGCCAGTCAGAGCACAGTGACCAGCTGCCATCTTGTCAAGTTACACTTTACCCTTTGTCAACACTTCAACTTTATGTTGGCAAAAAAAAAAAGGACTGCTAATGAACAATTGCATTAACAAACATAACTTAAGTGAAAAGGCCAAGTTTATAATACATTACGATGCACGCTAGTAAAAACACTGTATATGAAAGACCACATATTAGAACTGCGGAGAAAGATGTAAAGACAAGAATGATCATCGTACGTTACTACTGGTCTTTGCATTACGATACAGCTAAAATTTCAAAGTTTTGTTCTAACAAGGACCTAGTTCCTGCACCGCTGAAATCTAGCGTAATTTATAAACTTTCTTGTCCTGGTTGTGTACAATAATACATCGGTGTTAGATGTTACGCTTCGTGAACACGCTACCAGGCCAAACAACCAATGAATTCGGCACTAGTTTTAATGAAGTAGATACTTTGTACAAATTACCTGATTGCCACATAATGATTCAGCATCTATAGTTGTTAACATCAATGGGTACATTTTTTCTGCTGTTCGTACTAACTTTGGGGTCACTGACCGCAATGAAAATTGGTCGCAATATTAGCGTCTCTTGGGGCTTTCTACATCAAGAACTTAAAGCCTCTAGAGAGTTAGATCTTTATCTTTGATTGCATTATGCTATACCATCACTTGCTTAGAACGGTTTTTAATTGAGTGTCGAAAGCAATCAGGCAACTACTTTGTTTTTGGTTGTACTACAGTTTGGAATTGTCTGAGTGGTGTAATTGGTAGGTAACTGGTTTGGTTTTGGTTTTACGACACCCAACTGAAAACCACTCTATATAATTAACCTTGGTATAATTCAAAGCTGTCTACTTGTTCTATTTTAATTACATGTATGACACTTAAATAGAGCCAAAGTATTGTCAACGCTTCCTCATTGTATTAACCCAAAACTTGGTTTCAATAATGACAACAATCCTCGCTTTCGTCTTCTTTATTGTTTTATCCCAAATTTTGCAAATTATCAGATACTTCTGGATTTCAACCCCAGATGTTGCAGATGTTCTTGTCAACACGTTACCCGCTAAAGTTGTATATATTCTGTTAAGACTATGAACTATACATCCTGCCTCGCTAGTGAGGGAACCTAAGCGTACAAGCTAAAGTCAGTCAGTGTAATTATTGGTACTAAAACGACAAATAAAGTACAATGTACTGCAATACAATCACTGATCGCGTCATATCTTAACAAGATTTAGAACTAAAATATCTACCGAAAACGTTTTACGCACCCCAGTTTTACTCGTTCTGAAGACCACTTGAAGTGGTAGGAAGGGGCGGGAGGAGGAGGGGGGGAGGGAGATTTATAGTTGAAGCTGGAGAAACCGAAGATGGCAAAAAAGGATCCACGTTACCCAGTGTTATGGTTACAAGTTAAGTATAATGGCCAAACATTTGCATGAAGAAATTGATTGCAAAAGGATAGCCACATGATTTGAGGGATTTTCAATTTGGTACGCGATTTTATTAATTTCTATTCTCACTTGTTCTTCGGTACGGATGAACTGGAGGCCTTCCTGACTGACCAGCATTAGCAAGGCGTTGACTTCGACGAGGTACATGACCGACAGCTACAATACATGCAAAAAAAAAAAAGAAAAGAAAAATTGACGAATGAACAGGTTGAAGGAATACACAAACGATTTAACGGGTCAGCGAGCGCGTAAACACGCACGGAAACCACGTAGCTGCCTAGTTGAAGACTCTTGTCTCAAAATTTACATAATGCTGTCTTTGCGGCTTCTTTTGCGGCTTTACTTCCGCGCGATATGACCAACAGCAATGCAAAATACACAAGCGTACAAAGAAGGCTTAGCGACGCCTAATTGTTACAGCCATAACAGTCATTTCTTACCTTGCAAATCAGAGAAGAAGTGCTCGTGGATAACAAAGTTATTGGCCTGAAAAGAGGACACTTAGTCAGCATTTACCTACCAATTTCATTTAGGAACAGCCATAGCCTCGTGTGCATACATTTTAAAATAGCTGTTCAGAGTAAACATTATCCTAATCAAACAGATGGTGTAAATCTCAGAGATTTTTCATTTCAGTAGACAAATAGACCTAGTTATGTGCATTGAGTAGGGATTTTTCTGTACCTTGAGATGAGGATAACAATTCTATGGTCAGAATTCCATGGAATTCTTGTAATTCTCATGAAATGCCCATGGAATAGTAATTTCTGACCAACCTGTGGTATAGCATTCTTTAGACCATAGTACTTCTTCAGAAAAGAGACAAACTTGTGAGAAGGTCTGTCTATAGCCAACTGGTGTGCCATTCTACCCTCCATCTAAAAAGATATATCATAATATATGCAAGTATACAAATGTAAGTGCAGGTTTGTTACAACTACAACCCTGTATCTATATTTCACTGGCCCATAAGTGACTATATGTGTAAATGCCCATGTTGACTATGTATGTACAATCATGAGGAAAACTAGTTTCAAGCTCCAGACAAATTAAAAAGTCTTTACTTTTGTTTATATCTGACTTATTGACCAAGTGTGAGGTCAAGATGGCGGGATATTGGCCAAGGTCTTTTTTTGAGTTCTCATGGCTCGACGCGGAGTCAAGGTCCTTAAACAGATAATACCCAGACCAAGAACAAGGTCAATATCCAGCCATCTTGACCGATGAAGCTTGGTCAATAAAGGATTTATTATTAATATGGAAAAAGAACATTGAACATTTTCTTGCGAGACATAGTGGGCAATTCCAAACAGGTAAGATAGCACAATCTTGCCTGCTTGGGTAGCCAATCACAGTGCAGGATTCAGTTCATCTTGCCTGCCAGTGGAGCTACAACTGCAGCCACATAATAAATAAAATAACTTCACTAAGTATTAATACCTTCAACATGTGCTCAAACATCCTATTGCCACACCCTGTTCTTTGACGAGACTCATGAATGTAGAAATCCAGTACACACAAGGGATTAACCTCATACTGCACACTTTGCGTGTCCTGATGATATAAGCACAGCATGTATACTTCAAAAAGCAAAACTTTCTTGTAAAAGCCATTGAACATTTGACTTGCAATGTCCTTATAAACCAATTAGGAGCTTAAGCAACAATGCTGTGCAGTGATGCCAAGGATGACACCTAATAAAACTGAATTATATTTTAACTAAGAATCTTGCAGTTTTCTTGATCTGTTCAGTACACCAATGGCTTCTTAACCTTCTCAGGCTAAATATGTAATGACAGTGTTCAATTCCAAAAAGAGATATGAAAAATTAGCCACTTTCATTCACATTCCCCAGACTATGCAGCACTTGGTCATTTCACATTGTTATTTTGCAGAGGATGGCTATGAAATGTACCATTTGAAGAGCTATAATGCACATGTATGGCCGTTGTTTGACTCATCATCCCTTTTGTTTGGTGGCATTCTCATTGCCGTTATGTCTATGGTCTGCTTAAGCTCCCTAATAATACATGTATTGCACAGACAGTGTTCGTAAATTAAAGTGCCTCAAGTCAAAACAGTACAATTATATTCAATTAGTACATGTTAATGTGAGCACTGCTCTCAACTTCTGTATAGATTGGTATAATACATAGTTTCATACTGTAATAGGCAGTCATAGATCAGTATATTGGATTACATACCAGTAAAAAGAGCTTCTTATGACCAACTTTTAGAATCCCAACGACTGCTCCTAAATCACTAAAGGCAAGAGATAAATGCATTAATTATACCTACAGTGAACCTACAACTGTAAGGCCTATGCGTCCCACAGTACAAGAAGGACTGATGATGAATCTACAACTGCACACAAATAAATACAAGGACTTCCTCAAACAGTTGTGTTACAATAATTACTGTCTTGTAACTTCTAATTCATACCACAGTCAACCATCTACAGACCAATAAAATTTTGGTTACTACTGTTCGTAATACAGTCCTTGGAATGATTAGAAAATTCACGTAGACTTTCTGACACTCAAATCCTCCATTTGTCACTCCCCTACCATCACCTCCCCCACCCTTTGGTACAAGACGACTATATTACAGAAAGATCCTGAGAATAAGACACTCACCTGTTTGCTGATGGATCCTTCATAACGTAAAGCCTGTGGTCTGAATGTTGGAGTTTTACTGCACTGGTGATAGGTGCACGCAAACCTTGAGCCTGGAAAGATTTGTTAATGATAAAAATAAAATGATAATAAAGAATAGTTTTCTTCTGCTACCTTAATTTTACTACGTTTTGTCATATTTAATTAAAAGAATTAGATTTTACAAATATGTCTTTTCCATTCCCCTGGAGGATAGACCATTATCTGTAAGTTACTTATGTAAAATGGATGTTACTGATCTAGAAATTCACATTGTATCAGCAGCATGGCTTGAACCCTAGGGATCAACATCTGAATTAGATATCATGGCTTGCAAATAGGATCAGTATTCATGGATGGACATCCTTTTCATCCCCTCATGATGCACTGCTTGGCATCTTGAGGATTGATAATAACTGCGGGAATGAGAAGCAAGTATAGGCACTTAAACTCATTACATACATTTGAACAGTAGCATGTGTTAGCAATGGTTTGGGGCAGTACAGTGACTGGGGGATAGAGGGGTGTGTAGAGGAGACATGTCCTGGGGCAGATCTAGGGGGTTTCAGTTGAAACCCCTAAATTAAAAAAAAAAAGAGATGTTATAACATGCTGACTTGGTGTCAGAATGCTACAAATCCCATTTCTGAGGACCAAAATTTTTAAAGTTTTCTGGGGGGACAATGTCCCCAGACCCCCCACAGGGGACCACCATTGGTAGTCTGTACCTTGAACCCCCTTCTCTAAAATCCTGTATCTGCCCCAGATGTCTATGTACACTGTACATGTAACCTTGGAGATTTATACTGTATTGTCATGGTATACTGAACTTCTCCCCAACCACCCCGCCCCTCCCAACCCTCTTGCCACCCTAGCAACTCCCACTACTGAGAGGCAATAAGTTATATTACACTCTTATAGAGCCAAACTGTCCGATAAAAAGAAAATAATTAACAAATGGTAAACGCCATAGCGTGTACTATTGAGTTATGGTTGCACGCGGGAGGTTGCTAAGCACAAAAGAAGCGTAAGAGTCGCACGAGGCTATCGCCTCGTGCAACTCTAGCTTCTTGAGTGCTTAGCAAACCTCCCAAGTGCATCCATAACTCAATAGTACACACTACGGCCTTTACCATTTGTTTTATAACATAACATTGAAACATTGGAACAACAGAAGTCCTTTTATTGAGCTACATCACAAAAAAATGTAGTCTTACATGACAAGAGAAAACANAGAAGGACGTCGGCCATTACTTTGGAAACAATGTCTGTCAAAAGATTTGCTTTGTGAACATTAGCACACACGTCAGCAGCGTACATCCATGGGCAAATAGTAGACGCTAAATTAACCAATCAGAGCGTGCGCTTTGCTTTAGTTATGTTATAAATAAGCTTAGTGAAAGTAAGTCATGCAATTCATAATTCTTCCAACATTTTAAAACAACAAGTAAAACTCACCCTTGTAGAAGCATCACCCATCTTATCAATCACTGTTTTGAGTTGAGCTTGCTTGTTTGCAAATTCATACCTTTCAACCAAAACATTCGATAATAACCGTTAAACTCATCTCACCAAGAAAATGTAAGCTTACGTAATGCACATGAACAAGGTATTAATCATAACAAGCTTACAAAACCAATATTATATGATAACAGCTGCTACATACACATTGCATAGTAAAAGTTCTTCAATATCAACAACAATTAGATAGGTCAATAGCCGTCAATTATTGCGTTCTTTAAGAAAGAAGATTTAACGATGATACACACCTGTCATTTTTCACTCGAGCCCGAAATGGTGCCAATTTATCGTCGACGAGTGTGATGAGATCAGGCAGCAACTCGTTGATGTTAAAGGAGAACTCCATCAGTCAGATCAATACCGCAAACGCAACAGCTGTGTCACTCATATAAAATCCAGGCATGATTTCTCTTACTGAGAAAACTGAATGATGCCTCTTACATTATCTTCGATCCCAATTTAGAATAAGCTTACTGACATACTGGACTTCACCGGCCATAGCGACCATTTGCTTGGTGCTCCAGCTGGTTCACTTTTCTCTGCTTGAAAGTCCTCGGCCGTTTTCAATTTGTAAGCAATGTCCACAAAGGTCAGAAGATTTTTAGAGACTTGATCGCTCCTCTTTTGGCGTCCCAAAGTCAGATTACCGCCTTCTCTGAGCGAAAACAAATATCTTTGGCTTTCTTTGGCAACGGAAACTGCTGTTAACGCAGGCTACATTACATGTCCAGCAGGTGAACAATTAGAGATAAATGTGTTGTGTACTGTTANGTAGATATGTGAATTACGTAGTCCATGCGTCTGTCCTCGAAAAAGTAACTAACTAGTCCAATGAT